AACCATTAAAGAGAAACAACGGAGACATTAAATAAACGTTGATTTACCCATATAAACAGACACTATGTGCTGTTCAAACAATGAACACTCCAAAACAACATCTTGAGAAAGTTAGGAACTCTTCTCTTGTCCTATATTTTGCGGCCCGGTGTTGACAGCAAAACACACGTCCTAATGACCATTTGTAGAAAATAACATCCTTCTCGTGCTTGCTAAGAAAAAAACAAACTTTCCTTTCAAAACCAGCAATGCTGAAAATAGCTCTTGTTCCTGACAGCACTTGTGTGTTGATGGTACAGGCCGTTCTTAAATGGCATTATTGAGAAGTAAAGACGAGCCGTTTCCTGCATCTCTGAAGAATGCGCAAGAAATACAATGCACAGTTCATTACTCTCAACCCAGCGCGCATAAATAACAGAGAAACACTAAAGACACCATAAAAACACACAAACTTCACATTCAATATGATGAAAAACATCCTCACATGACAGCAGCTTGTGACCAAAAGTTGACAGAATTAAAAAAAAACAAATAAATCAGAGATGGTAAACATCTGTTTGGTTGGAGTCATCCCACATGAAAAACAAAATGCTTTAGTGATTTATAGTAAACACCAGCCTGTGGTGACGAGAAGACGGAACTATTTTACGTTTGTCGAAAACTGTTACAAAATGCCGTGGGATAGCATTGGTAAATACTGCAGTGTACAAGTTAATACTTGAATTAACTGGTTATGAGGATTGTATAGTTTCTATGGTAACATAAGCACTATATTGTAATATAAACGAATGACTCAATACTGTAGTTTTCGACAACTGTAAGGTGTATTATATCATACACACAGCCCAACCTCATGAGGTAACAAAACTATTATTTGTGTTGTCTAAAATGTGTCTAACTTGCACAAATTGATAAGACTATTTGTATAAAACGTATAGTTTTTAAAAGGAGGCGTGTCTCCAAACTCCACACCTAAACCCAACTATCATTGGGTGATTAGCTAATCCTTCTAAATTGTACAAATGAGATCGTACAAATTCATAAGAATAATCCACTAAATCAAAACGTTACAAATTGCCGTGAAACAACATTGGTAAATAATTTTTGGTATTTGTATGGTTGTTATGGTAACACAATAACTATAGTAATATAAATAAATAACCCAATACTGTAGTTTTCGACAACTGTAAGGAATATGACAATACACAGCCCAACCTCATGAGGAAAAGTAACTATTTTTGTGTTGTCTAAAATGTGTTTAATTTGTAAACATAAAAACTTTACATTTTTAAAAGGAGGCGTGTCTCCAAACCTCACCCCTAAACCCAACTATCACTGGGCTATTAGCTAATCACTCTAAATTGTACGAATGAGCTGATTAAGAGCACTTTGCTTCCTGGTAAACTGAACAGTCACATCATCCATGACGTAAGTGTGCTCCGGTTCGGAAGGCAAAAGTGTGAGTGCAGGCCGTCAGGGGAGAGGGGAGGGGGACAATCGCGCTTCAGCACAATTCAAGGCAACTGTACCCAGTGTGAGTAAGTTCTTAGCCTCTCTTTGATGATCCCACAATGCAGTGCTCACTCACTGCTCAGGTGTTGGTTTAGGAAGATAAAATATACAGTTTGTACAGTATAAAACTTATTACACCTATAGGAAGACCCCATAAAGTTAGCTGTAAAAGTGTGTGTGTGTTTGTGTGTGTGTGTGTGTGTGTGTGTGTGTGTGTGTGTGTGTGTGTGTGTGTGTGTGTGTGTGTGTGCGCGCAGAGACCACAAGTCTGTTTGGAGACTGAAAGCAGCTGGCAAACATCCAAGACAACCATTTAAACCATAATGATCTGAGCCTCTGTTTCTCTTTGTCATTGTGCCATGTTGACTCACAGAGCGAGTAGTTTTCTGTCTACTGGAATGCTCTTTCTGCCTGTATCAGCTGTAAAAACATTGGCATGACAATTAGTGGCCCGTACCGGACCTGTCTACGTAAAATGAAAAAGACAGAGATGAAGACGGAAAATGACAGAGCGATAGAGCTTTAGTTTGGAAAAAACGTCTAAAGATAGTTGGACAATAAATCAGACGTCTGTCATCACTTATGAAAGGTTCAGACTGCAGAATATTTTTGTCTTTTATGATATTTTTACTGTGTACGATTATGTGATTTGGACTCCTAAACTTGTGTGTGTGTGTGTGTATGTGTGTGTGTGTGTGTGTGTGTGTGTGTGTGTGTGTGTGTGTGTGTGTGTGTGTATCATGACTAAGAATGTCATAATGCATGCTGCTTCCTTAACCGATCATTGCTTGCATCTCTAATAATGTGTGTGATGTCATAAAGAAGGTAGAGCAGGCGTTACCAAAAACCTATAAAAAAATAAACTTTTACAAAGGGCAACAAGGTGGCACAGTGGTTAGCACTGTTGCCTCACAGCTGGTTTGAGTCCCGGCTGGGTCAGCAGGCATTTCTGTGTGGAGTTTGCATGTTCTCCCCGTATTGGCGTGTGTTTCCTCTGGGTGCTCTGGTTTCCCCCACAGTACACAGACATGCGCTATAGGTGAATTGAATAAACTAAATTGGTCGTAGTGTATGTGTGTAAATGAGTGTGTCTGGATGTTTCCCAGTACTGGGTTGTAACTGGACGGGCGTCTGCTGTGTAAAACATATGGTGGATAAGTTGGCGGTTAATTCCACTGTGGCGATCCCTAATGAATAAAGGGACTAAGCACAAAGAAAATTAATAATTTTTTTACATATATATTTACAAATGCAAATTTACAAAAGTGATTTGAGTTTTTTTGCTTGTTTTAAGGAAATTATTTGCCAGTGAGGTAAGTGAATTAATCTTGTTTTTTTGTTATGATAAGTAGATATTTGGACTAGAAACAAGACAAAAATTCTAAGCAAGAATCAAAAGCATAAATTATATGATACACAGTGGTCCCTCACTATAATGTGGTTCACCTTTCGTGATGTTGTAGGTTTTTTTGTGCAACTTCACATGCATTTTTTTTTTTTGTTGTTTTGTTTTTTACAGCGCGTTGTGTTATACGTCCTGATTGGCTGTAGATAATTTTTTAATCAATATCCGTGTCTCCTATACAGTACATGATGCATTTAGCTTGTAAAATTAACATAAATCATTGATTGCTAGCAGTGTAAGTTTCAACAAGAATGCAAAAAGGGCTGTAACTGTCCAAAGAAAGACCATTAAAAAAAAAAGGTTGACACACCGAATACGCTGCACCACATAGCGTCATGCATTTTAGAATTGTAAACACAGGTTTATATCAGGGTACGTACATCTGCGCCACAAGTCGGCGGCTGTTTGCGATGCCCAGCTACGACTCAGGACACTGTTCATATTTCTGCCGCGCCACAGAACGCCATTTGAATAGTTTAATTTTGAATAACATTCGAATGTGTGCTTCTCGTGTGTGTTACTTTCAACTGTCATGGGCACAAAACATCCGGTGTGCGACCCCCTTAAGGATAGAGTCTGCTTTAGCTTTGTGGATCAGTGACTGCAAGAAAGTTACATTACACTGGATGCCAACATTATCTGCATTAGAGCTAAACAACTTTATGAACATCTTGCTGACAGCAATGAATGTTTGCATCTGACAACAGATTTTGATCTTTGATTTCATTCTATAATGCTGGACTTATTTTTCTATGAATCTTCGAACTTTGAGAGCGTTTAAACAAGAGAAAAAAATGTGAAAATGTTAATGCCTGCCTGAGAAAAGTGTATAAAGTGTGTAGTGAGGGGTTTTACAGCCTTAAAACATCAATAATAATTGTAAAAAATAAAGTGAACTACTTTATGGATTTCATCTATTGCGGGTTATGTTTAGAACATAACCCACGCAAATAATGAGTGATATAGAGATTTTATTTAATATAATTATTTTAAAAAGTATTTTAGAGTCTTTTAATGTCATCAAATGGTTATCTAAAAAAATAAAATAAAATCATACACAGTAACGTTAGAAAACTTTGAATACAAGTTTGTTTTATACCATTTGACTCCAGTTGTATGAAATGGAGCAACATGGACATAAATTAAAACATCTTTTTTTTTCTTTTTTTGTGGATGAAAAATCATACCAATCTAGATTGTCAAACAGTAAAAACATGCTAATGTAATACTCAACTTTGGGTGAATTATTCATATTTAATCTAAGATTGCAACATAAACACGACTGTCATATAAAATTAATGCACTATTTATCAATATCTCCCCTTTTTCACAGTTTACTTTAAGTGACTGTGTTATTAATATGTGATTTAATCACAGCAATGAAACTTCGTTTACATCCACAGGCCATATTTCCAATGTTAAACAATCACTTTTGTACTGCAGTTTACACAAAGCTATGTTAAATCACTAGCTTGTGCTTTCCATTTCAACAGCTCGTTTTATTAAGATTCAAAGGTTTACTTGAGCGCAAGGAACAGAAACGCTCCCTTTGGCTGAGTAGTTTGGATTGGGGGTAAAAAAATAGGGTAAATCAGCAAATCTCGTCACCGAAAATCAAACAATCTGTGCTTTTCTTCTTTATAAAACTGATGTAATCTCATGGGCATCGACTAATGGTTTGGTCCCTCGCTAGCTCACACCTGTTGCTTTCTCGTTTGATTTCACTTTTTATTTGAATTCGGAGCATCCAAGAAGCCAGAAACAAACGGAGCGGCAGGGAAACAAGAGGACTGAAGGAAATCAAAGGGAAATGGGCAGAGTGTTTATCGGAGAGGGAGGGATGGAGGCTGCTTGGGCTGGCAAAGACGTAGGCTGAATATTCAAGCAATAAAAAAAAAGAGAGAGAGACCCCCACCTCACACTCCTGCAAATATTGTCTTATCCATTAGTGGGAGCAAAGGGAAGAAAAGGGTAGTCTGTCATTGTGAGGCTCATGAAGGAGAAGTCAGGGGAGGAATTCTTTTCAAAGCCTCTTCTGGACAGGGCCATTTGTTTGGCCCTATTCAGACGCCGTAGAGCGTAGCAACAAAGAGCGCTTTCAGTGCACCTCACTGTAAAAGCATGTGAAAGAGAAAAGCAGGGCAGAGGAAAGAGAAGAAAGGCTAAAAAAAAGAAAGGGGGGAAGAAAACAACTTGAGCGGGACAGGCTTGTTAAATTTAGATATGTTTATATGGACCTTTGCTTGTGTGTTTGTTTTTCGCGAGAAAGTGTTCGCGGACCAAACTAAGAAGAGTTGAACGGAGTTGAGGCTTGAAGGAGAATGCTACCCAACACTCATCTTTAAAAATAGTGTAGTCAAGCGTGGTTTGGGACACCCGAGAACTGCCGTCGGCATAAATCCTACCTGACCTGAACGGTGAGAGACTTTAGCGCGTGTTTATGTATTTACGGGAAGGATTATTGCTTTAGCAGCTCTGTTCTGCGAAGTGGATCAACTCACCTCATCGTGGGACGTGCAAACCCTTCCAGAATGTGTTCATGTGGCTTGATATGACTTAATCATTCTGCATAGCAGACGCCTTTTAGTTTAGTGGCCTGGTTTCTTCACAAAATGAACGTTGTGTTATTAGCCATCTTTTCTTTCCACTTCCAAAAGTCTCTCTTTCTTGAAGGAACACACTGTTTTTGCAAGTACACAAATTTTACAATTCACCTTGAGTTACATACAATTTTTTGAATCCATTGAATGCATTCAGATTAGACTATTAGGTTTATTTTCTAAACTAGCCGGCCTAAACCCTTAGACTGATTGGTACCGGGCCGCACAAAAAGTCATTAATTATTTTCGTTTTATTTATTATATAAGTTTGAACAATCTTTTATTTTGAAAAATGACCATATTCTTGCTTACATCTTGGTCACTTAAGTGCCAAAATTTAACATACAAGCATCAAAATGAGTAAGAAACAGACATCTATGGAAAGTTTCATTGCTAGGAGAAAGGCTCAGTGAAGAAACCACAAACTGCCAAGAAATAGATCCGTAATCCATTTGCCAACAAATTAGGTGAATCCAGCATATGTGTGCAAGAAGATCAACTGCTGGAAATCGCAAATGACGGCGGCCTTTCAAGGACCGTTCGCATATCGCATCTTTTCTAGACTTCGTGCAAGTTCATTATTTTGTGACACACTCAAGCCTTTCAGATGCACACAGCCGCCAGCGCATAGTGAGTCACGTGACAAGAACTGACCTATCAGCTTCATACTTTGTATGGTATATTCAGTAGAGTAATTATCTCAGACAAATACAGAACACCCCAACACTGCACTGCTTTGTAATTTTCTCCATAAATAAAACTTGTATCAGAGTGTGAGCAATGTTTTGTCAGCTTGTCAACCTCTGAGAAAACGGTTGATGGTGGCCTAGCAATCTATACTATACTATAATATATACAGATGCGCTGCAACCTCTGTTTATACAGTCTATTGGCACGACTCGCGTGAGCTATGCTCTCTTTATTGCAACCATTGTATACCCGTTGTTTTGAGCTGCTGTGATGCGAACGGAGCGATCGCCCTCATCTAGTGTCTCATCCAACCTTGTGACCTTTCCCAGAAGCTCCACGAGTCTCCCACATATTCATACCGTGACGCAAACTAGTTAAAACACCGGAAATCATGGCGATGACAGTGAATGAGCATTACAGTTATTAGGTTAAATGAATAGAACAGTAAAGATATTTCGAGTGCAAATCTCTCTTTCTTGAAGAGCTGCTGAGAGACTCTCCAGATCGACAGGCAATAAACGGAGAAATATTTGAATGGCCTTACACGTATTTAGGCCTTTTTACATGAGAACTGAAAGTTCTGTGTTTTTGACAATAATGCAAGTTCATTAAAACCTGGCTAGAAATATTAGATAAATAAAAAAACTTTAAAAATATATATATTTTAACATAAATATTTAACAATATAACATTTTGAAATTTACTTATTACAATAAACAGTAGTTTATAGGCCTATTTCCTTAGTAAAGAATTAATGGATTTATAGGCATTTTAACTTCTTATGCAGGGCCAGACGGAATCTGCGGAGAATTTTGGTAAACAAATAAAGTCTCTCATATAATATATCTACTGAATGACAGAAAATATTACTTTACAAACTGCATTGTACATAAATCAGATGAACGTTTTCATATTAGTCAGTAATATTTCTGTAAATAATTAAAAAAACTAAATAAATTTAGATTTACAGACATTTACTCAAGTAAATAAACAGAATTTATGATGGGCTAAAAAAAATCGACAGAATTCTGTGGGTAATCTGCGGAATTCTGAGCGTGCAGATTCCGTGTGGGCCTACTTACATGCATCAAATATGTGCTACAAACTAAGACATGTTGAATTCTTCTTCCATCACTTGCAATGTTTCCAAATGGCTTTGTTAGTAATATTTCTCAACAATTTTACTTATATTTATCTGTTGAATCTATTACTTACTTTAAAGCTGCTTCTGGCCAGGACATGTTCACACTAAAATATTTATAAGAGACATGTTCAGGGGATTATATGCAGCATCCTTAATTTATTCTCTTAGGTAAACAAAAGTATCATACTGTGCTTTATGCATTATAAAGCTTAAAGCATTAGAATCGGTACTCGATATCGGCCGATCACTATGACGAGGAATCGGTTCTCAGTATCAGATGCTAAAATCCTGATTGGAGGCATCCCTAGTTTCTGCCCAGCTCACAATTAGGTTTTTAAATTATATTATTATTTATATTATGAATGTTTAGATCTTTTTTTTTTTGTAATTGCTGTTTGAGGTAGAACTGTATTGAAATAATTTAAAATGTCTTTCTCTGAGTTGCATGGATCAAGCCACAGCACATGTTTGAGTAAACAATAAGAGAATTTTCATTTTATGTTAAAGGTGTTCTATCAACAGAACAGTTTTTTGTTCACTTTATTAATGCCATATTTTTATTTCATTTCTCTCTCCATCTCTCTCCGCCTGCTGTATTCAGCGAGTCTACCCATACAGCAGTGCTCTCGTAAAGATTATTTTCCTTGGAGTGGAGGCGAATGAAAGTAGGACAGGTTTTCATCAGGATAGCTTGCGATGTGTCAAACGTATTACGACTCATCATGCAAATATGGAACTTTCTGGTAATTAAAAGTCACTCTTGGAGCGGCTCATGAAGGAATAGGTGTAGGTGTGCGAGCTTTCATCTGTACATCTGTATGTTTGGGTGTACGTGTCTCGGATAGATCGATGGCTTGGGGGTTGGTGATGAAAACAGCCTGCTTGGTCTGTTTGGGTTTTTTTTCCATCTCCTGCCAGCTGCATTATGCTGCGGATGGAGCCATGGCTTGACCAAAATAAACCTGCCAAATCCTGCAAGGAGCCAGAGATGGAAGGAAAAATACATGTTTTTTTTTTCCTTCTTTTTCACTTGAGATGGCCCATGTCCAGACAGGCTTATAATCACACTGTTCATTATTTTATTGACAGATGCAACATGCCGGGTTGGAGAGAATACAGATTGGTGTGCAAACCTCTGGGACGAATGGAGTCATGGACCTGCATGAAATATTGTGTGGATGGCATTATTATACTTGGACCAGGCACTGAGCTCTCGAAAAAACTGACTTGGAAAATATACATGCCACAATATAGACGCATTCGCTGCACTTGTGTTTAGTTAAACTGTCAGTACGCTGACATTAAACAAGTCCTTTTAATCTCAGGGTTTCTCTCTCCGAGTTCTCAAGCCACCCTGATTCAAGCTAATGAGTTTAACAGAATCTGAATCTGAGGAAACCACACATTGAAAGCAGCAGAACGCACCCAGATATAACATTTTACGACTGAATTATACAAAACCGTGCATATCACTAATAGAAATAAAGAGGAATCAACTTATCGAAGCTGCCGGTTTGAATTTTCGAGCATTGCATTTACAATGATTTGTTTTTCACTGTAAAAAATTGAATAGTTCATTTACAGTTTACATATTTTGTGATACACAGGTGGTCTCTGCTTATTTACAGATACAAATTGCATTATGGCACCTCAATCTTTGCTCTATTGACTATTGACGTTTAACTTTGCCATTTAAAAAAGTAATTTCTTTGACATTGTAGTAGTTTAAAACAATATATTGTATAATAAATCATATATATTTTAGTGCTGTCAAACGATTAATCACATTCAAGACAAAAGTTTGTATTTACATGATTTATATGTGAGTACTATTTACATATGTAAAAATACACGTACTGCACATAAAATACAGAAAGTATAGAAAATAAATAATTTTACATATAATACATCATTTGTATTATATATAAATATTTTACTATAATATAAATAATTATAAAATAGATTATTTTATTAAACATTTATTCAGATGTGATTAATCATGATTAATTGTTTGACAGCACTAATATTGTCCAAAACATACCAGAAAAAAATCTCTGGCAGTTTATGATCAGGCAATGTATTTTTTGCTGTAATATATAACACCAACGCAGACAATTTATAGCTTCAAACATGCTCCGATCGATCAGCATCGGCCGATAATTACATTTTTGACTCAATCCGTACTTGCCAATCTGGCCAATCTCATGAACCAAACGCACGGTGGTGTTCTAAGCATTACATTTGTTAGGTTAGAGGAATAACACAGTAAAGATATCTCAAGTGCACATCCCTGTCTCTTTCATCGATCTGCGGTCACAGACATGCTAGTTGGAGAGCAAAATATTGGAATGGCCTTGCATGTATTTAGGCCTTTTAACATATAAAAGAATAGAAAATTCTGTGTTTTTGACATCTATATATATATATATATATATATATATATATATATATATATATATATATATATATATATATATATATATATAAAATTTATATCTAAAATGTAATTACATTAAAAGTTAAAAGCCTGAAGCATCAGAATCAATACTCAGTATCGCCCAATAAATAAAATTATTACAAAATTATTAAATTAAATGGACAGATCAAGGTATCATAATGTGATTCAAAAACATAAAAAAATAGAATCACAAAATGTGGAACAGTGTTACTATACAGACATACTTTACTGTGCACAATGCTTAAAAACATGCTTAAATGAAAAGCCTGCTTAATAAAGATACAACACAATGCTATTTCTACCAGGTATTCTTCCCACCCTATCAATCTAACAATCAAACTAACCTAAAATCAACGGCAAATTTGCAGATGAAGACAATGCTTCTCTGTCTACTCTGTGTGCCTCTCGCTGCCTTAAATATAGGGTGGGCAATTTCAGAGAGGCTAGCAATTGCAAGCAAGCTTTGAAAACCAAAGATCCTGCCCTCCCTGGATAACCACTATCCAAAGCCACACCTCCTCTAAATCACAGGAGACAGTCAGATTACATAATGCCTCATTCACCGGTGAGAAAATGTTAGAGTACAAAGACAATAATATTGTAATGTAATAATTAGTGGAACTGGGCTGATGGTGTATCTTGTCACAAAGGAATGCAAGTCATAAGAGTATATTATATATTATATATATATTGTTTCAGCATTAATATCATTATGTGATCATTTACAATAGTCAAATCGCAAGATATGCAATGTTGAGTCTGTATTGTATTTTATAATTGTCATGTGTTTTTGAGCCCTATTACTGTATAAGGATTTTGAAGGCATTTAGGCATAGAAATTGTACCTGTTGTACCTGAAATGATTAATGTTATTAAATTATTTGTATTTTTTAATTATTGAAATTGGCTAAATAATGTTAAACTCGGAAAATGATAAAACACTGTTTCTTCCTTTGTATCTTTTTCCTTACTGTATTTCTCTATGCTTGTATATTGGTTATTAGACTGGATTATGCAGATGCACATGCCGAGAGAATCATCACAATCAATGCTTCCTAATAGAGATAATCAAGTCATCTTGTGAATTCATATTTATATCGCAATATGCAATCGCAGATTAACAAAATATCACAATGTTAATTTTTTTTATGTTGACATACCCTCACTGGCTACTTTATTAGGTATACCTTACTAGTACCAAGTTGGACCCCTTTCTGCCTTCAAAACCGCCTTACTACTTAGTGACATAGATTCAACAAGATACTGTAAATATTCCTCTGAGATTTTGGTCCATTTTGACATAATACATCTCGCAGTTACTACAGATTTGTTGGCTGCACATCTCCCATTCCACTACATCTCAAAGGTGCGCTAATGGATTGAGATCTGGTGACTTTGGAGGCCATTTGAGTACAGTGAACTCATTGTCATGTTCAAGAAACCAGTCTGAGATGATTTGAGCTTTATGACATGATGCGTTATCCTACTGGAAGTTGCCATCAGAAGATGGGTACACTGTGGTCATAAAGGGATTTGACATGGTCAGCAACAATACTCATGTAGGCTGTGGCGTTGACACAATGCTGAATTGGTACTAGTGGACCAAAAGTGTGCCCCACACCTTTACACCTTTATTTGCGCCCACAGAACTGCGCTGGATATTTTCTCTTTTTCAGACCATCCTCTGTAAACCCTAGAGATAGTTGTGCGTAATCCCAGCAGTTACTGAAATACTCAGACCAGCCCATCTAGCACCAACAACTATGTCACATTGAAAGTCACTTAAACCACCTTTCTTCCCCATTCTGATGCTCGGTTTGAACTGCAGCAGATCATCTTGACCATGTCTACATGCCTAAATAAGTTGCTGCCATGTGATTGGCTGATTAGAAATTTGCGTTAACGAGTAGTTGGACAGGTGTACCTAATAAAGTGGCCGGTGAGTGTATACACATGATATCCGTTGATGTTTGTTTTGGTAATATACGACAATATTTGGCACAACTAATTTATTTTTAAGATGAGAGTTAAAAAAAAAATCTAAATATTAACCAGATCGCCTTTAGAGTTGTCTAAGGTCTTATCAATGCATGTTTATAATCCAAACTTAAGTTTTGATATATGTAAGGAAGAACATTTACAAAGAGTTTTCATAAAAAGGATCTTTACTTTATATTCTAATAATTTTTGCCATAAATTAAAAATCTATATTTTTTTGCTTAAATATTGATATTGACCTAGAAAATAGAAACTTTTAATTTTTATTAGCCATAGTAAATGATGTAACTACTGTACAAAAGAGTCAAGCTTCAAATAGGAATTTTTTTTTTTTTTTTTGCAAAATGCTAACGGTCTAATCCGATTCAATAACTTATGCTAAGATAAGATAAAAATGCTACCAATGGACACAGAAATCAACTGAATGAATTCAAAAATTTTAAATCAGAACAGTATAACAATAGACAAATTGCAAAATGAGAATATTTCCAAAAAACATTGGATTGTTTCCTTTAAAGTACATTTTATACAATGAGTCTAAAACTAGCCTAGTCTCCATCCTGATTTTGGGAACTCGACTGTTGGGAATCCAGCTAGATCAGCTTAAAGACTGAGAAATCTTTGGTTTTAAAACTGGGGAAGAGATGTATTGTTAATGTAAAAAGCATGAACGCTAGAATACCTGGATCATTACTTTACTAAGACATTTATTTTCCTAGTGCGTGCACCTCTGACAGGTGGGGATCATAAAATAGCGCCTCTGCGTCTCTCCTAGAAGCCAGCCTCACAGGCCACAAACACACTTGCACACACTTTTAGCAGATGTGCTCCCTGTGTGCATTCGGTCAGCGCATGTCATCCATGAAATCCTCACATGAATAGGAGGAAGTGAACAGAGCCAAAGTTATCCTTAAGGAAGGGAGGGAGAGAGATGGTGACAGATGGAATGGAGTAGTTGACTTCTTTATTTTAAGGTCTTTATTTTCTTCGCTTTTGGCAGCCTGTCATTTATGTGCTCCCGCTTTTTCAGAGCACATGCGAAAACATGCAATTGCATGAAGGCGCATGCACACACACACTTTTTCTATCACACACACACACACATGAACTGTGTTGCTTTAAAAGACAAATAACCAAAAGTGGTCACTCAGCTATCTGCAAAAATCTTTTTTTAAGCTTGTGGAGAAAATGTATTACCCAAGTCTCACGACATTTTTGCTCCAACAACGCACAATGGTAGCCAGCAGTGGTGTGTAAAGTACTTGAATGCCATACTTGACTAAAAGTACAGATATCTTATAAGAAAATTACGCAAAAGTTAAAGTCACTGATTAGATTGTTACTTGAGATTTAATTGAATCGCACATTTGGACTTTCTTGCTAATTATATAATTTCAGAAAAGTATTTTTAGCAAATTAGAAATTAGGAAATCATATTAACAGTCAATAGCTATTAAAGTACAACACTGTTTACAGTCAGTTAAATGGTGCTGGTGTTGTTTTGAAGTACTTACATGCAATTCCAGACCGAATATTCCAAGTAGCGTGTCACAAGTTGTCACTGCTAAAAAACAAACAAACAAATGTGTGAATATAAAACCAACTGTGCCTCAATTCAGTTTTAAAGTATCTGATATGTATTATACTTGAATATGAAATATATATATATATATATATATATATATATATATATATATATATATATATATATATATATTACCATTTATTGTACACACAAGTAAATCATCCAAACTGCCATTCCAAATCTGATTTTTTTAAAAATATATAGCCTATTTAACAAAAAATGTCAATACATATCGTTCTATATGTAATGTAATGTAATTTAATGTAAATACACTGAGCAGCATGTTTGTTCTCAGTTTTAACACATACATTTGTTTTAACTTCAAATTATTTGGTAATTTTGAATGAAAAAAGGCAAAACTTTGGGAAAAATCATGATGACAGCCTATAATTCAAAGGTAAAATACCTTTAAACGGCGTTAGCTCAATGTGTTTGTTGACGTCTGACGGTGAGTTTATA